ATCCAGACCTGTGACAGATTATTTTTTGTTTCTTGTTTTTATTTATTTGTTTATTTTAGTTTTTCACCCTTTCCGAATCCTTCTCCAAATGCAGCCTGCATTAGCTATAATTGCATGCTGGCAATATTCACAGTTTGTCAAGGAAAATTAACAAATTTTACCTTTTATGTACCTTTCTGTCACCTGTCACTCACCTCTGCTGCACCCAATGGTGTCTAGTGGAGATCTGTCCGCTCTGATCATTTGATCTTACATGTCAACTCCCTTTGGACATTTACCTGTAGTTTGACCCTCCTAAATTTGTCATGTTCGTAACAAATCCATAGGACTCACAGTTTTATAGGATGTGTGGGGTTTGGAGCAAACTGTCAGCTGCAGAGAGGCAGAGACGACATGGAGGGAAGGACAAGGAGGTGAGTCTGTTTTTTCTACATAACAACCCTCCGGGCTCTGATTGGCTGTTTCTGCCCAGGAGTGTATCTCTGCAAATAGCTGTAAGACCACTGGAAGGAGCCAGAGGAGCTTTATTATTGTTTTTTTTTTTTTTTTTTCAAAGATTATATGGCTCATATTCTGCTGTCATGACATAGTTGTAGCTCTTGTGATCATTTTGTTTTTACATGGCCACTTGCTTAACCACCTCTTGGTCGGTGTAGCCGGTGGCAGGCTGATTCGTCCCCAGTGAGAGACTGAGATTTCCTGCTATGTACCCTTCTGGTTGTTTGGGTGGGCAGAGGCTGTGTGGTGTAAATGTTGGAGAAGCGCCTCTAACCCAGCAGGCTTTAGGGTTTTACAGCTTGCTTAGGACCTGGTGTGACCTGACCTGACATTAGCTAAATATTTTGTTTCAGCTAAACATTTAGATTTACGATTTAGTTTTAACATTTGAATGTAACTTGTAGATGTGAAAAACCTTCCCCGTTACTTTTAGCACAAATCTCTTTACAAACAGCGCCCCATGTTCTCTAAGAAAGCACCATGTGGCATAAATGTAATTTTAAAATCACCTAAATGTTACATTTTATAACATGAATTTTCACTGAAAATCTATACCAAAAAACAGTCCTGCAAAAAAAATGTTTAAAAGTAGATTGATTGGAGAAGTTGATTTACTACATATGAAGAAATACACTTGTGTTATCAACAAATAATCATTTCATCTTCTTTCAAGCACTTCTGAGTCAGTGGTGTGAAATTTTAAGAAGTCATTTTGTATTCATTAAATATGACAAACTGTTAATCTGTTTAAAAACTGACCACATAAAATCCTTGTTTTAGAAAACTGTTTTTACGACTGTTTCCAACCAATTTAAATGAAAGAAAAGAGCACAGAACAGCTGAGCAGTCCAAGGTACTGGGTTCAGGTTGTAGTCTCTCTCCCATGGAGGTGTGGGTTCAAATCCCACTTCTGACAAAGTTTCTTTTTCACAACTCCCCTTTTCATCCAAAAGGTTAGTCCTTCATGTCAAGACCAGCAAAGATCCTGCAGAAGAGTTGTACCTTGTTGAATGTTAGCATCTGGACTGAACTGAAAAGTTTAACACAAATGGTTTCTACCACAGAGAACAATCAGCTATGATACAAATCACACTGATTACTTTCTTTCAAACAGCTAAATGGTTTAAAACTGTTTTGAGTCTAAGGTGCTGTGTTAAAGTTGAAGCATTTTCTGGAAGTTTGGGTTCAAATCGCACTCAGTTTCTTGACTGATTAGCAGCTGTCTGTCAGTCCACAACTAGCCTGGTTAAAACCAGACCCTTGTCCTTCACTTTGCTGAAGGGAAACTAGAATTGAGTGGAACTGCGTAGGAAGGCAAGGGCCAGGCTAGTCCACAACAAACAAACCAGTCTGACTTGTACCTGCAGTGTTTTACCAGGAAGAGACACACACTCATCAGGACGACCATCTGCCTCGATTGATTGACACAGAAATGGTTGCAATAAAATAAATCAGTAAAAATCATGGTGTAATCCAGCCTGCATGGTTCAAGGGAAGACCAATCAAATCCTCAGCAGAAGACCACAAGGTTGTCAGTGAGGGGCTTTAATAAAGTGCTTGGTGATGTGATGAATAATCTTTGAACATGTGCTGCATTCCATACCCCTTGCAATCGAAAAACAATCTGAAATTCTCTGTAGGCACTTAATTTGATTTGGTTGGTTCATCCACAGATAACAATAAATTAAACATATAATTTCCACAACCTCTTCTCACAATTACCAATACAAGCATCTACACCCAGTTTTGCTCACGTCTTGAATTCTTGTTTTCTTTTTGATGTTGTCGGATCCAACACACAGCTTGTGCACAGCCCTTCCTGCGCAGCAGTTGGCAGCTGTTTACAAGACTGATTTTATCTATTTCATGCTGCTCAAACACGATATGATCGAATGGAAACACTGTTTACCCTATTTGTAAACAGACGCAAGGTTTAGATTTTGGACAAAAAAAACTTTGGCATCTGTAATTTCCTGAGGAAATTCAGTGAGGATGCTTCAAGAGGTCAAAAAAAGCTCAATGTGCCCAGAAAAAGGGTTGCAATTAGAGGTTTATATAAAAAAATAGTCAAAACCCAATCTTTGCTGCTATTTGAAAAAATATATATATATATAAAATGACATCTTGCCATTTTATTGCATTGTAACTCCTCAGTTTGTGTCATAGGTTTGAATTTTTGTTTTGCAGTCAGCACAGTAGATTAGTTCTGACTTACACAGTACACTAACACTCAGCTCAAATACCGCAAAGATTGATGGCCCTTTGGTGGCCCAGACGTAGGTTGCCAGACCTGGCCCACATCCAGTTGAAAGAGGGAAAACACTAGGGTGGTCAGATGTGGTGCAGTAAGGCAACAGACTTGTGACCAGAAAGTCACAGGTTTGACTCCCCGTCATGCCCACATGTCGTGGTGTCCTTGAGTACAGCACCTAACCCCCAACGGCTCCCCGGGTACATAACAGCTGCCCATGCTCCACCTGGGTGTTTCTCATGTGGGATGGGTCAAATGCAGAGCACAAATCTCCTCATTGTATGGGATGACAAATAATGCATTGATGACAAATAAAGTACATTTAAAATTTACACCTAACTTTCAAAATAACACATTTAGGAATGAATAACTTACACTTTCGTGCTATGTTTGACTGAAATCAGGTGAACCATGAAACCACTTTGGCTTTAGGCTTTGAATCACAATTTCCATCTAACATGATCAATACTGCATTTAAATGTAGCTTAATTTAATTCTTGTCACCGTCACCTTCTGTAATGAATATAACAGGACTGCATTATCTGACTGTCTATGACTATTAAAAAAAGAAAAACACGTTTTTTTCTATTGACATTTACAAGTTTATAAAACACAAATATGAAAAATGCAGCATATATACACAGGCATGTACAGTGTTAAATAGAAACTTCAGTGATATATTCAGAGAATCTATAAAAATACATTTTCTTCACATTAAATCATGCACAAACACAAACCGTTTTGCTGATGATTCACTGATTTAGTGTGGAAAGTAGAATTACAAAATATTTTACATTATGCTAATGTAAATATACATGTGATCACTTGTAAATGCAATTTGAAGATTGTTCTTATAACAAAGACTCGATTACAAATTTTTTAATGTGGCCAGTGCTCACAATTCAAAACACATTTTTTTTTAAAAAAAAAGTGCTACAAACTCCAAAATTGAATATAGTTTTAGATCAATTTCAGATCATTTTACGATAAATACTTTTTTTTTTTTTTTGGTGTTGTTGAAAAGCAGAAATAGGCAAATTTTATTTAAGACTCACAATTAAGTGATAAAAAAAATCTGCTGAGTCATCAGATTAACTGGAGCTGCCACAATGTTAATGTTAAAGACGTAAGAAACAACAGCAGCTAAAATTGTGTTAGGAAAACATTCAAATGCACCAGCTAAAGCTTTGTTGTGCCGTTGTCAGTGCCAGTGTCACTGACTTCATCTTGTTGTTATCTTATAACAACATTTTACCCTGTAACACACATACAGCAGATCAATATTACCCTGTGGAAGGACATTGGTGAATCTAAACTAGTTCTCTTTTTTATATATAAAAACAGAGACTACACACAGACTCAAGTTTTCTTAGCAACACAAAGTGCTGGCTCAACCTAGTTTAACACACTTTGATCAAATCTGTCCATTCTTAAGATGTGGCAGCACTTTGACCTTTCCCACGGCAGATAGTTGACCTCTTGTTTTGCCGTCTATACCATTTAATATTGACTTTTTCAAAACTTCTTTTCAGGCTGGTCTCACGCATCAGCAGTGGGAGGCTGTATCTTCCTGTGAAAAAAATAAAAATAAAATAGCATTAGAGTATGTGTCAGGCTCAAGGTCCATCAATGAGGCTATTTTAAACTTTAAAGCTATGATTCAATGCAACAAAATAAACAAATTTAAAAGATGAAAGATAATAATATTTTTCTGGCTCCTGGGCTTTGAGTAACTGTGCCCCCCTGAGCAATTTAGTTGAATCTCTCATGAGGCATGTCGTCTAGTTTACCTGCAAAATGATGGCATACCACCGGTAGGTGGAGGTGCACAGGATTCAAAAGTAGCTGATAGCTGGCCACAGTGAAAATAATTACATTTAGCTCTTTTGCTATGGCCCAATTGTACTGAGAAGTGGGAACTTCCCACTTACAAGTCATAAACTTAAACTGTTACGCCCCTCCAGTAGGAATGCCCTGTCGGAAAGTGGATGAGTTCAGAATTCAAGACTGCAGCTACTCCACCCTCTTCGGATGTTATCAGTCCATTAAATGGATGTTATTAGCAGTTATCAGTCCCATAGAATGGCTTCAGACTGTCAGCTAGTATGAGGCATAAAGCCACTAAGATTATTTATCTAATCTGGTTAACATGAGGCATAAAGCCACTTAGGTTAATTTTAGAGAAAATTACTTAGGCTAGGTTAAAGTAGACTGGCAGATTGTTGCCTTCCAACATATTAGTAGGTACACAGTCTGAAGCCTTTCTATGGGACTAACTGCTAATAACGTCCATTTAATGGACTAATAACATCCGAACTGGCTGGTTCTCACCACAGCTCAACAGTGAGTAAAACTGGCTTACTTTTACTTTTAATAGTATTTCTGTATTATTAATTTCACATTTAGTCAGTCATATGCTTAGTACTTTTCAGTGTTTAAAGAGGACATGTTTAAACACTGTTTCTATGCAGGAAATACCACGTAAAGCCCAGCTGTTTGGTAGCGGTGCTTTGCCATAGCGATGACACGAGGAACGAGATGTTTCATGTTTAAAAGAAGTTGAGCACAAATGTTGAAGTTAATTACAACTTGTCCTTTCAGGGTTTCATGCGTCCCTCAGTGAAAATGGGTTTGACACCCCTGTATTAGAGTGTAAAGAACCTGATCATCAGCATCCTGGTTTCCAGTGGCATATGTGTGTAGAGTTACATCATTTAGAACAATGAACATACTCATGTTTGGTGAGAGGGGCTTTGTCGCAGGTGACCTCTGAGAGCTGGCCGCTCTCCTTGCTGAGAGTCTGAGTCCCTGTCTGCTGTAAACTGCCTCCTGGTTTGTCAATACCCTTCAGCTTGAGTTCTCTGCAGCAAGAAAACACACAAATGTTTGAATTACGGTATTATGTAAACTATTTTTTTTCTCTTGCAGACCTGTTTTTCATTTACGTACCCGTTAGTGTTTCCCTCTCCCTCCTCCACCATTTTAAGGCCTGGAACCTTCTGTCCAAACAGCTTCACAGCGATGGTCATGAGCAGACCACAGCGGTTTCTGTAGCAGCAGGTGGCGTCTACCACCAGAAACACAATGACGAAAATGACCATGACGATGCCAACCACGCCGCCTTTGGTCATGCTGCTGCTCACTTCAATTGGAAAGAAAAACTGGAATTATTTAAGTTTTCATTCTGTGAAAGAAGTATAGTAGAAAGGCACCATACCAGACTGTTCCGCAATGGTGAAGTTGAATTTGAAAGGCAGGGAGGAACCATTAGCATTGACTGCTTTTACTTCCAGTTTATAGTCTGAGCCATACACAAGATCTTTAAGACTGACAGCATCAGCATCTGATGGCAGCTCATTTTCTTTCCACTCAGACCCTTCTGTATCCTGGTTAAAGGGAGCCCACGAAGGTAAAGTTTCAATAAGAAGAAGTAGCATGACGAAAATTTACACAGAGGCTGATTCACATCGAGTCTGACCTGTTTGTACCGGACATCAAAGTGCAGCAGGGGCGACCCACCATCATCAATCTGTCGTATAGGAACAGAGAAGGAGTTGCCCTCAACTTTCATCTCATTTGTGGACAAAACTGGGCTGTCTGGTTCTCCTAAAAGCAGGGGAAAATTTACAATCAACTTTTACGCCTTAATCCAGACAGGAATACATCCATGGAAATTTAGTTTATCTTTGTAATCTTTGTTAGTGACTGTGAGTACTCTACCTTCTGTGAATTGATGACATATAAGGTTACATGGATAACAGAAGCAGGATCAGCAGGGAGCAGAGAATGATGACAATAAATGTTAGAATGTTGATTGTATGAGATGCACTACAAGTTGTATGGATTTTACGAGTTTTAGCACGTTTTTAGCTGGTAAAAGACTTGTGGTAAAACTTACGTATTCCCTCAGTGTGAACGCTGCTTTCGATTGAAAATTGTCCCTGTCCCACTGCATTCAGGGCAGCCATGCGAACTAAATAAGTTGTATAGGGCTTAAGACTGGTGATGGCCAAACGATCTGCAAGAAATTAAAAAAACCTTTGTTTTCTGGGCTGTATTTGTTTCATAATGTAAGTTTAATCTGCTACAGAGTCTTGACCAAATATTCTACCCGTAGTTGGAACAATGATCTCTTTCCACTCTTCTGCTGAGCTTTTCCTCCACTGCAGGACAAAACCTGAGATAGGTGTTCCACCACTGATGGGGAAGGTTTTGAGTTCAAAGACGACTGAGGTTGGCCCTGGAGAGACTGACAGGTAATGAGGAGGTCCGGGCTGGGCTGTGGATGAGACGAGGTTGGGGTAAATGTTTTATAAATGTGCACCAAAGACAAGTTTTATTTTACTTGAGATGAATCTCTTACTTTGTATAGCAACATCTCTCGAAGCATTGCCAGAAGCACTGACTGCCATGCAGGAGTACAACCCCCCATCAGAAGGCACTATTTCATCAATCACCAGCACACCATCCTCAGCACGGACACGACCGGTTGAATCCTGAAAAAAAAGGACGGAGGGGAATTTTAAAAATACAGTATGTGTAGATTGTACACCAAACCATGAAATGGGATAAATTTGGAAAGTGTTGAAGTTGTTGCATAAAATCCAGCTTTTACAGCCGTATGTTTAAGAGCGTATCATAAGAGTCGTGTATTCTTACCAGTGTTTGTCCATTTTGCTTGTTGAGCCAGTGCAGCTCAGGCTGAGGATGACCAGTCACGTTACAGAACACAGATACATGCTCCCCCACAGTCAATCGCTGCTGGTCCACAGACACAAACACCTCCGGAGCCTCTGAGGGAAAAACACCACCCTGTTGTTATGGTGCCATGCAGCAGGATTAACTAACCAGAACATAACTCACAATCAAACCTACCAAAAACATGAAGCACTATGGTAGCACTGTGCTCTCCGATCTTATTGGTGGCAGTGCAGATGTACTCCCCGAAGTCGGCCCGGGCCACAGACTGGATGGAGAGTTGGCTGCGATCGGAGTTGAACTGGTGATGGAAGGGGTCAAATGTCACCGGCCTTGGAAAGGATAACAAAGATGAAAATATATTTAGATCTTGACGTATTCTGTGCTTGTCTAGAATACTGTCATTGAAATGTCATTTTTTGGCAAAATTAATAAAAATCAATAAATGCCATTTATTAAATGATTGGTTGCGTTTTTTTTAATATTTTTAATTTAATTTTTTGTTTTTGTGTTTCTTGAACAAATGAGTTAGGCAATTATTCTAGGAAGGTGTCGATATGCAACAGGAAGATTTAAAAACATAAAAGGACGGCAGAGGGAGGCAGAGAGAAAGTTGGATGTAAACCAAATGTGGCCACAGAGCTGATAAGGACACACACAGAGACACGCTAGGTTTCTCTATCCTTGTGTGGACTTTCCATTGACTTCAATTCATTTACTGGTCATTTCTGCAGCCTAACCCTGACCCCTTACACTAAAGTTAACCACTCCAGTACATACCTGACTCTAAATCTAGCATAAATTTAATTCACACTTTGGTTCTAAACCTAACTCCCCCACCCAAAATCACCCTCCGAAGGCTACATTTGCCTCAAAATTCATCCCCACCAAGTAGCAAAAACATGGGCACACATATTCGGTTCTCCACCCACAGAGATTCAGACTGAATATTTACATTAGACATTTAGATATTCCAGACTAAAATCTAAAACATACAACAGTATGAAGTTTAATTTCTGATGTTAAACTGGTCAGAATGGGTCTGAGACTCCACAAAAATACATTTTTGTTTATTTTTAAAAGAAAAATAATCATTTACTGTTCACATGTAAATTAATAAAAAGCTACAAAAAATTTAAAAATATTTTAACTTTTCCCATTCTGTGATTTCAGAGGTTTAAATAAAGAATTGGGTCAAATCATTATGTTACACTTGTTCACTGTTGAAGTGATCTGTATAAAACTGTGGCTTACATGGTCCAGGTAATGTTGGGTTTTGGCAGACCGTCTACCAAACACAGCAGGGACACGTTGGTTTCAGGTCCAGCCATCACTTTTTTCACCTCCTCTCTGAGCCTCACTGAAGGAGGAGCTGCAGAAAGCAGGCCAGACTTGACTACAGCTACTTCAAATATCAGTAAGGGAAGTTATAAGTGCGTGTAGTGACTACCATATATAACTGATATAAGAAAGTTACAAACCATTGACAACAACAGAGACGGTGAGCTGCTGAGAGATGGGTCTGCCTCTGATCTGGGCCTGGCACACATACGTTCCAGCATCTTTTCTCTGAACTTTCTCAATGTAAAGTGAGTTATCAGGCATCTTACGAACACGCCTTTCTCCTGAGGAATACACATTTGGAAAAATAGATATGAACGTATACATTATGCTCCTTTTTCCACGTTTTAGTCATGTAACTGTAAGAGCAATCGTGAAACTTTTATATCTCTATTTAAATTTGGATTTGGAGATGAATGTTTGAGTTTTTACTTTCCAAAAACGGCACAATAGTTTTCCAACGATTTTACAAAAGACTTTCTTGTGCACAGAATGTGAGTTAGATATTTTGTTTGTTTAAATAAATGCATGAAATACTAGATCATTTGGAACGACAACTGGACTGAAAACTATATGTGAAACATTTTTTCATTGGTAAGTCCACCCCTCGTGAGACAGGGGCGCTCCAGGCCGTGAAGGCTGCTCTCACCAGCAGAAGGGATGTCTTGCTTGTCTCGGAGCCAGTGGACGTCCACCGCCGGCAGCCCTGTCACCAGACACGGCACCACTCCGTCCGTGCCCTCCAGAAACTCATGGTAAGTGTTCTTGCTACCAAATGATGGACCATCTGATAAATGAAGACAAGGCAGCATCGCCTACTTTCAACACACTCAACTAATGAACATTTGGACAGTTTCTACTCAAGATTTAACAGATCTGACTATTTAAATATTTAGTGTGAGTGGCTTTATTTGTTGCTCACCATAAATATACAGAACTATCTGCTCGTCAGACTTGTGCCCGCTGTCAAATTCACACTCGCAGGTGTACTTCCCTGCATCCTGCATCTTAGCCTTCTTGATGAGGAGTTTAGAGGAGGTGTAGTCCAGTTTTGACACAATGTCTTCGTCGTCTATTTCCTCCCCATCCTTGTGCCACTTGATTTCTCCATCTCCTGAGGCTGCAGGAGACGAAAAGAAAGAGATCAAGTTTGTTCATTTAGAATATTCTTATGCAAATAAATTACAAATTATTATTTGTTAGTATTCAGAAGCCGTCAGATAAAGTGTCGCTCACCTTTACATAACAGCAAGATCTCTTCTCCCACTCGATAATCTTGTCTACTTGAAATAATATCCAGTTTTGCCTCTGAATTTGACAAAAGAGGTTTCTTTCTTTTACATCTTCAATACATTCAAAATATACGAGTCTATGAACCATAATGGAGCAGAGAATAATTACTGAGATGATTTAGCTTCCTAATAAAGCATATAGTCTATAGTGTTTATGAAGCAAAAATACAATAATCAACCATTTTTTTAAAATTTGACTTGTTTCAAAAGCCAATAATGAGTTCATTATTTTTGTCTCCTCTTTATAATTTCCTATTTTTTCTCTTGTTCTGTGGTAGATTGATAAACTTATTCATTCTTGTCACAACTCAGAAAGCAGGTACTGGCTGTTTTATAACCTTACAGCACTTGTTCAAATATAAGTCACTTAGAAATCTGGCATAAATCAAAACATTTCACTACAATACAGTTTGTCAGCAGGCCTTACCTGTGCCGCCCACGAGCAGTAAAAGCAGTGAGGTAATCCTCAGGATGGTTGTTGATTGGTTCAACATGGAGGCAGTTTACAAATCCTTCAAATTAGAATTTTGCTGACTGCAAACTGTATTTTCTCTATTTAAATCTATGTCTTGGTACCAGATGGACACCTGATGTTTCCTATCTTCTTCTGCTCGAGACATCGTCTGTGTCAGAGGTTATATAGGAGCACAGGGGCAGATGAAATGAGAGGAAATGAGAAGGGGTGGGGTGGGGGGACAAAAAGAGCAAGCTGTCACCCACCACCATTCCTCACTGTTTCTGTTGGCCATTCAGAAAAAGAAGAAATGATGACTGAAAGAAGCCAATCTCTTACTCTTTGTTCCCTATTCTGTTGTTTTATTCATTAATTTTTTCTCACAAATGGGTTCTCCTTTTGTTTTTATTATTTCTCTGTTTTTACCCTTATTGTGTCGTTACCCTTTCGTCCCCCTTTTCCACACGTCTTCAGTTTAACCTTCTATGGTAACTGGATAAACGTAAGGAAGGAAAGATTTTTCATATTATTCTTTCTGTTTTGTGTATTTATCATTTTCTTCCTGTTTAGTTTTAAAGGGTCATATTTCTTGCACGTACCGGCTGTAAGACAAAACCACCTCAATGCCACTGTGATCATGATGTAGAACTTAAATCCACTACAAAGCAATAATAACTTCTCCAATAATGATCAGAACAGGTCTAACTTTGTGATTGTGAAAGATTGTTTGAACATGCTAGTTACTAGCAAAATATATGTATCAAAGAAAGTTAACATTGATTAGATTTTAAGTGTTTTAATTTTATGAAAAACAAACCACTTTTGAAAAACAAAAGCAATCAAAGTTTAGTTCAGTACTGCCTGAGTTCTATTCAGTTTTGTGTTTTCTAAGGTCAGTTATTAGAAGAAGTTATAGTAGATAAAACCTAAAAGTATCAGAAAAACAGAACGGTCTGACGTAGAAGCAGCTGTTTACAAAGTAAAAAAAAAAAAAAAGCTCAAGGAGAACACAGAGGAGAACCAGACATGTGTAAGAGCACACAATGATAGACTGTTGAGTGAGGTAAGCTGAGTGATTAGCACTGGGGCTGATGACAGGATTGAGCTAGGTTTATAGTTGACATGTTGAACATGGTTCCCTGTGCACTAGTCCTGCTCAGTGCCGCTGCACCTGGTCATGCACATAGTAATTATTGGAACTCCGCATGGGCTGCACTCCATTCATATACTTTGTCCATCAAGCATTTGTTCTGCTTTTGCAACATTTTGACCAATTTTAAAGTATACTACATATCCTTTTGTCTAACAATAAAGGGGAACAGGTGTTTTGTGTCGCAGAACCAAGGGGTAGAAACCAACCATAGCATATACTGAGGAAAAGGGAGCTGAAGCCAGAAAAGAAAAACTGAAAAGAAAAACTGAAAAACAATAAAGGAAAGAAATTTAGAACTAACAAATACAAAAACCCATCAAAAGAATTCAAAAGATACAGATCCTGACATGTAGCAGCACATCCAGTGACGTAACCACTAATCCACCATGCAGCCTGTAATAAAATGTCTTTGAACATGAATAAACTTGAAGCCAACAACATGTGTGCAAGGGAATTAAAACTAAACAGAGTCATAGAAGGAAGTTTGGCTGAGGGGACAAATGTCAAAAGCAGATTTAGAAAACTAGAGTTTGTGTCCTCCAGAGACCACTCATTGTGGACATATTTTCAATGAGTTAGTTTGGGATTAGAAAAAGATCAAGATCTGGGTCCAGCCTAGGTCATAGATATCAAATTGTCTACTTTATCAGAAGGCGGTGTCACTATCATTCTATAGGTCGAGCCTTATCCCCCACACAAACCAGATAAGAAGCACGTTCCATGGGTGAAACTCGTAATCTTAATGTTTTGCTTCAACAATGTAAAACAATGTAAAACAACGTGAAACAATGTTGCAAGGATGAAGTCATTTCTGGCATTTGTGTGGGATTGAACTGGGAATTGTCTGCGTAGATTATGTAGGATTTAGCAACAAGTTCAAAACTCAATGAAAAATACATTTGTATGTCTTTGCTTGTATTTATAAAAATCCATCAAACATAGAATTAAGAAGTTTTTTTAACGGTTCCCTAACACACATAATGGCATGGACACACACACACACTGACGGAGCAGAGCCTAACAAATCATCAACAAACTCAAGAGCTGACCAGAGTGAAGATCATCCTAGAGCTCACTGTAGTGTTTACAGTAAGCATTTACAACTTGTAAAAATTGGTGGTGCCCCTTGCAGGCAGTTTTCTCCTTTTGATTCTCAAGGTTTTGCTTGGTGTTCATGTTAATTCTGAAGGGAGCAGCTGAAGGAACAACAACTACATTTAGGATTATTAGAACCTCAAACAAACTTTGTTTTTGATCCACTGGGAATCATAAGAATATAAACTATTTCATTTAAAATGAAAAATAAAACTTAAAATCTACCCCCAACCAGTCTAAAACCAATGTCCTCAACAGAATGCAGGATCTCAGGAGGTTATATGTAAAACATTTTTTATAAACATAAATTTACGAGAGGCTAAGTTTCAATAAGTTGAGTACTGAAAGCAGTTTTCTCAATAAGTAATATTTACTGTAAAAATATAAAAAAAACATAAGAAGGTACACTTATATTTATAAATTTATCAAGTAACCTACCGTATAAAACAATAACAAAACAATTCTCCTGCAAATCTGTTCTTACTTTAATTTTGATGCCAGCCCAGGATTTCCTGTAGCACCCTCACGGCCACCCCATTAAAGCGTTAATTTGGAGGTGCTAATGTGTAGGAGGAAACCAGAATACCCCGAGAAAACTCATGTACAGACAATGTGTAAACTCCACCCAGAAGAGTGACGGGCTGGGATGAGAGACAATAGATTCCACCATCATCTAGTGATGAAATACATGAAAGATTTAAATAATATAAAAGTCAGTGTTTCACAGTTAGTTTAGAAAAAGTCAAATCATTGAACTAGGATAATGTTTAATGTATGCCAGGAAAAACATCAATAAAACCTTTTTACAAATATCTAAGGAGCTAAGACATTACATATATCAGAATATATTTGATGTTCCATACGAAAATATGCTAGGAGGGTCAACCAATTGATCTTCAGTTATTAAAACACCCAAGCCCACACAGATTACCATCCTTTCATCTCTGCAGTGCAAACGTCCACCCTGCCAGTCACGTTTTGTCCCTCAGGGTCTTATCACTTACACTGGACAGCTGCCAGCCCACCCCCTTAGCCTCACCATCTCGATAGCCTATCAGTGTCTCTGCACCAACGTCCAGGCAGCTGGTCAAAGGTTGGTAAATCCAAAGGGGCCACTTATCAGGTTTTTCATCAGGAGGTGTTATTATGGCTCATTAGATCAGAGTGTGCTCTGTAATGAGGACCATTAACGAGGGCGGACACACTCTGACAGAAGTTCTAGATTAAATATGTCTCAGGGTTTTTTTCCCACTTGATATTGCTTTACTGGTGTTGCTTTCCAAGTCAGCAACGGCTTTGACATATTACAAATGATCAAACATATTTAGACAGTGATCCAAAGACCATGAGACCAGTGTTTGACATTTTTGTTAGGTATCTCATATTTAGCATTTTTAGGCTGTTTTCCAAAATTTGGAATATTGTGTAAAGTATAAATAAATACTGTATACCCAGGACTGTTGAATAGCTGGAGTACTACATCAGACAACAATGGGACAAAGATTCCCTTACAAAAACTCAATTGATCTCCTCAGTTCCTCCTGAGATGTTTGCAGATTGCTGTAGCGGAGGGAATGCCTTACAGTAGGAAACACAGTCCTGCTTCAATTTTTTAGAAATGTGTTGCTGTCATCAAATTCAAAATGACCTTTTTTTTTACTTGGCTTACCCATTTTGTCAGAATCAAACCCTGTTTTTCCAAATTCAAGTTGTTCAAGGATCTATCTAAAAATAGAGCTCTGACCTGGGTATCCCCTTGCTTCCATTGTCAACTTCCTCTGATTCCCCAATCACCTTCAGAAAAAGCCCAGCACATGATAAAGTCAGTCAAAGCCTGAACAAACTGGAAACAAAAACAATAATTGCTAGATACACTACAGGAGAGGCAATCTCCTGCTGTCAGGTAAGGAACCCTGGGAAAAACAAGAGACTCGGCTTCTAGAAGCTAACCCACCAGGCCTCTCCAGAGTCAACAGGGACAAAACACAAACACAAAAAAAAAAAAGAACCCGAGAAGAAGACATAGTAGATTTCAAGAAATCCCTAAATGTCTGGGTGAGGAAGTCTCAACTTCCAGACTGCAACAGAAGAATATCCTGGATCTGGTGGAGGAGGTAAAAGCTGTACGAACATCGAGAAGGATAAAAAATTACCTTTCTTGAGAATCATGCTGCTGACTTGGAGCAGTACACTGCCATTAATAACATTACTGTGACTGGGCTGCAAATAAAACCACGATCATATGCATGGGCTGTGTCAAAGGAGACGAAGAGAATCAAACTGAGGAGACTTCACACTCTGTAGAGCAGCAGGTGACAACTTTTCTCCACTCCAATTGGATAGAGGTGAACAACAAAAATGCTGAATCATGTCACACTCTCACATGGAAAAACAGCACAAGAAAACCTGCTATAATAATAAGATTTGCTAACAGAAAGCATGAAATTGAACTACTAAAAGAAGGGAGAAAATCTGAATGAACATTTGACAAAAATGTAGACATAGCTGGAAAGGCAAGACTCAGAAAGCAAGGAAAAATACTAAATACTTGCACTCAAAATTTCAAACAAATATTAATCAAACTGAAAGGAAGAAAGTTTTGGTCATTTGATACATTGAGGAACTGGAAAAAAACTGAAGTCAATTGAACATAATAAGGAAATGATCAAACTTGTATTGATTGGGACTAAGTGCAATCATGACAAACAACTAACAGAAGAGCTGGACACCTTCATTTTACTGAACATAAAGCACTGGAGCAGCTCTACGCCCTCAGCTGGGTCCTGGAGGGTGAATAGAAGTTCGCTCAAACCTGTGTTTTGTGGACTTGGTGAAGGTGTTCGACAGCGTCCCGTGTCCTGTGAGTATGGGGTCCCAGGCCCGTTAATACGGGCTATTAGGTCCCTGTATAACCATTGTCAGAGCTCAGTCTGCATTGCCTGTAAGTCGAGATCGAGATCATTTCAAGTGAGATTTAGACTCTGCCAAGGTTGCCCTTTGTCACTGATTCAGTTCCTAACTTTTAGAATTTCTGGGCACAGCCAAGGTGTTGAGGGGATCCGTTTTGGTGACCTTAAGATCGAATATTTGCTTTTTGCAGATGATGTGGTTCGCTTCATCAGATTGTTACCATAATTACTGTTTCAGAAACTTGGATCAAAAATGAGAAGGGAGCAAATTTTGAATCAGACGGTTATCAATTTAATCATATCAATGGAAAAAACAAAAATGGAGGTGGCGTGGCAATTGATCTAAAATGTAAAACGTCTGCAACTGTGGATGACCTAGTTGAGTGCATTATAATAGAAGTTTGAGTCGAAAAGCTGACGATTAGTTGTATATACAGATCTCCTGGATCAAAT